AAAATCTCTCCTAAAAATGGAGATCCCTAAACTGACCATTCCTAAGATAAAGTAATCCATAGTCTAAAAGAGACTTGCTATTTTAGGAATGTTCTTTTGCTTCCCTTCCTAAAAAATACCCAAAACCAATGAAGAAAAACCAAACCCCATTATCTTATAGTAAATCTCCACTGGTCTTGAAATGCCTTTCCTCTCCCTTCTGCAAAAACAAACTTTTAGGCTTTTAACTGAACAACGTTGTAAGACAATATTTGAAAATCTTGAAGTTCTCCATGTTTTGTTGAAAATGTTAAAAATGTCTTTAATTTCATTATCTTTGTACCTTAGAACTTGATCCTGAAAAATCCCTGATGTGCTCTAATAATATAAACTCTTATGTCTATAATGTTGTGTAACAAATTATCTTCAGCAGATACGTGACTATGCAATCGCTATGCAGGAATTTAATAAAATATGTCCCAATTAAACTCATATGTTTGAGGAAAAAATCCTGTCTCAAAACAAACACCGAAAAGGGACACAGGATGAGACTTTAGCTTGTGGATTACTAGATTCGCACTCAGTTAAATGGAAAATAGATTCATCTGAGTTCTTTTGGCAGAGGTTTACAAATATACTTTTTATCACTTATGGTAGCGAAGACAACTTCATTGTTCTAACAAAGAGGTCTGGCAATACAGTGCATCAGATTTTATGAGCTTGGCCTTACAATTTCAGAAACAACAAATGAGAAATGAGACTAAAAAGTGAGAACTACCAGAACTCCATGTTCTTCTTGGCTCTGCAGCAGATGCTGAACCTGGCTGAACATTTACCTTTACATACCTCCTGCTTAGACCTGGAGTGCCAGGTTAAATACATGATGCATGATCGTGGTTCTTCAGCTGTGATTTAGGTGCATTACCTACATGCCATTTTTTGTAGATTCAGTATGATTAATTTCCAAAGCCACATTGAACAGATTATTTTTCTAATCAATTCTACTATGCTGAAAAAGTGCAACAAACCTTTACAGAACCAAGCAAATTTCTGACAGATTTAATGGTGGCTGCTGGATAAAAAATAGCTAAATTTATCATTCATTGCAGAGGCCATTTCTTCAAACTTTACTGACAATTCAGGAAGTATGAAAGGTCAGGAAGCACTTCTGTGCTCAGAAAAGGGAGTAACAGATTGCACTGCAAAGCCAGGCAAACTGGGACACTCAGTCTTTTTATGCCCTTGAACTGGGACAGTGTGTTTCAGCTAAGGATTTGTCATCACTGGTGATCCACAAGTTTTCTATTGTATGACATCTCCATTTCAGAAAGACATTGCTATAAAAGTTTTGGTTTGTTTTATACTGGAAAAAATAGGAGCAGTCAAACTGCATTGAAAGTGTAGGTAAGAAACAGATAAAATACTCTAATGATACATTAAGGGTCCACTGATCACAAACTTATGGAATTTTAATAGATGTGGGATTTAATCTGCTCGACAGTTTTTTACACTATTCTGTAACAACATTATCACATTTAATGGTATATATTATCTTCTATTCTGTGAAGAAATTCCTATTACACATAACACTAATGTGTATAACAAATTGAGTTAAACATAATTATTTAACAAACTGTAATATTGTCATCAAAAAAAGGAGATGTGTATATAAAACACTGGGAGAATGTAGGTAAGACATAGGAGTGAAGCTAGACTACCTGAAAATGCTCTGTCATTAATTTCTACCATTTAAAATTATTTTTATAATTTCTAAAACAATAAATATTTTTGTAACTCTGAAGGATTATGCAGATGGAAAGGAATTTTAAGTTCTATTTTCTCAGAAAGTTGGAAACACCATTTATTATAAACATATTGGGTAGGTTTGGGCTACCCAAACCCAAAAGGCAATCTTTATTTCCCAGGAACCAGGAATATGTTGAATTCTGTTAGAGATGTAAAGAAGCAAACCAGGGCTGGTGGTGAAAGCAAAGTGGTGCCATACTCAAAATCAGAGGAGGTCTGTGAAGTGAATGTTGTATAACACATTGTACACACAAAACCTCTGCCAAGAGGTTTCCATCTTGGCTGAAGACAGTGTGGGAGAAGGATTGTGCCAAAACCCAGGTGGGACATTCTGGGACAAGTGAAATGTGCAAAAGTTGCTGTGAGAAGGGCAACATATTCTCCCTCATGCAAAGGAAGGCTGGAGAGGAGTATTGTGAATCATCTGCAGCACACTCATGTTCATAATTCCTTGCAGGAGCTGTCAAACTATGTTTCTGACAGCTCATGGGATAAAGCTGGCATAAGAATTGTTCCAGCAGGACTGCTTGTATCTCCCTGGAGACAGGGGTCTCAGCCCAGGGACAGAGACAGGAGCAGCCCTCCTGATTGCAGACCTGCAGTCTGAGAGCTGGACTTCAGACACTAACAGAGCTCTGAAACAAATTTAAAAAACAGATTGACAAAAGCTGTGTGGAAGAGAGGCTTGAGAAGAAAAAAAGGCTTGGTCAGTGGTTCTGGAGGAACTAAGGGCTCTGTTCTTATCAGCTCTCTCCATCCCATCAAGTTCAAAACTTTCAGTCATTCCCTGAATTCCATGAGGCTGCTAGCAAAGAGGGTGAGAGGAATTCACTGCTGACAGCATGCAAACTGTGGAGCCCTGTGAAGCATAAAAATGTGAACAAAGACCAAAGCTTTTTTCATGAGACCTTTTTTTTTTTTTTTTTTCCCTCAATAGAACTGCTCTTTTGGAAAGAACAGTGAGATCTTGCTACTTATCCCATGTGTTAGAAGTGATAAAAGAAAATGAAAAATATGAAAAAACACAGATCTTTCAGGCTTTTAGGTAGGAAATGAAAACTAGGAATTTTTGTGGTGGTACTTTTTCTTCCAGGACTTATTCTTTCTACATATTTATAGGCCACTTGACAAAATTGTTTTCTTACAGCATAAAAACTAAGACAAATCTACCTATGTTAGGCTGAACAAGTTTAGTTGCAGTACCTCTGTCAAAAAGGCTTTTCCTCCTGGGCATTTCTTGTGCAAAAACAGTACAAAGTTTACATTGTTTCTATGTAACTTAACAGTTTAACAGCAAATATCAGAAGAAAATCTCTAGGAAGGTTTTGTAAGCTATAGCTTTATGCCCTGTTAAGCCTTTGCACTCATGTGCTTTGACTTTTTAAATAGAATTTAAAAAGAAAAGAAGTGACCCAAATTCTATCACCTCCTTCTGGATTGGGACTGACAGGATTTCTAATAACACTGGAATTGCCACTCACTTTATGACTTTTTCCCACTCTTTTTAAGTGAACTCCCTTTAACAGGGATAAAAAAGAAGATGGGAGAAAGACAATAAAACCACAGATTTGATATATACCTATGAACCATTTTTCAACATTAAAGGAAGAGATATTCCTTTCAATAGGTTATTTATGGATTTGCTTTTTATGCTGAAGAAAAACAGATCTCTTCTTTTCTAAGCTGGTGTCTGGGGGAGGAAAACCAAGCTGCAGTTATTTATTTGTGTCTTTGCTGTGATGGGAAAGTATCTTTTGTTCCAAGCACAAGCGCTTTCTCCAGTCTCCAGAAGAGTTCAAAGATAATTTGTTTTCTAAAGAGCCAGAATTCATCAGGCAAGAGGAGGCAGGAGTGCTTATGGTATTTGCTACAAAATAGTATATGTTCAATGTGCATCTATCTACAGTTTAGGACTACAGCAACAAATTGCACTTTTATATAGGAAAAGACTGTTCTCAACATCTGACTGACCCTGAGTAGAAAAGCAGAGAAGAGGCTCTGGCAGCAGCACCCTTGAGGCCATTTTCACGGGGATCCTGAAGGAAATCTGTCTGAAAGCCTTCCTGGGACCATCAGTGCTGTGAGTGCTTGGAACTGCCTTTGTTGTTTCAGCTTCTCTTTTCCAAGCTCTATCTGCCTTTGCTGCTCTGCTTTGAGAGGACAGGAAGGAAGTGCTTTTATCCACCTGGCCTTATGTCTTATGGAGCATTACACTATTGGCAACTGTTTTCTGGATTGTAGAAACATAACTATAGTTTTGGTGGAGGTTCTTTTCAAAGTCATCTGTATCAAGGACATTTGAGACTCTAAAAATATCAAGCTCAGAGCAGTGACCACCAAGAGCTCTGACTGTTTGCAAGTGAAGGACAGTATTTCTACTTACAAGTGTGTTGCAGGGTTTTACAAAAAAACTTGTGGTTTGTGGCAGCCCTGGGACAAAGCAAACTAAAAATCTACCAGGTGCTTGACTTCTGTATGACGAAGTCTTTCTGCTCAAGGTGTGATGAAATGTAACTGTGGGTGTGCATGGCACAGTTCTTGGAGAACACCATGGCACATACCAGGGAGGGGATGTCATTCCTTTTACTTTGGGCAGTGGGTGGAACAAGAGGAAAATACAGTATCTCACTTGTGACTTTAGTAATTCTTAGGGGGCATCATTTCAGTTTTTAAAACTCCTCCCTGACCAAACGGGCAAAAGCAACCAGGGTCAGTAAGACCTGTTCTGAGCAGATTGACCCTGGTAATGGCAGTGCTGCCATCACTCCTCATGGATGTGTTCCCATCTGCTGGCCAGGCTTCAACAGCTGGTTCAGAAGAGAGGGCAGCCCTGGAATTTGGGAAAGGGTGCTCAATAACATCTGTGACTCGCTTTTATGTTTTATGACAATGGCTATAAATGACTCTGACACAATGCCTATATGGGATAGGGACAGTGTTTAAAAATGTCTTCCAACACTTCTTTTTCAAGATTTGGATGCTAATACTAGATTCGGCAGTGCCAGGGAGGGTTTTTGGTACCTTTTCAACTCTACAAGGAATCATTGCATTCTTGGAACACATCAACATATTTCTTCACTTATTCCAGATCAGATCATTTATACTTACAAATTCTGGTATTTAGCTTATTGATGATTGTGTCTGTTACTGGTGGTGAAATTGATTTGCGGAACTGTTTTGCTCAAGGCAAAATAAATTAACATAAACAAAATAAGTTTTATTTCTGGAAACTTTCTTTATTGATGATTATTTTCTGTAAGTCTGCTGTTTCTTCACTCATTTAGAAATGCATCATAAAAGCTCATATTTCCATAATTTTTGCAGTTTTTGTCTGGCAGAGAGACACGGAGACAGAACTATTGAATTGTAAACTCCACAGAAGCATCAGCCAGAGTGACATCTGTGTGGAAAGAGCCATGCAGTGTTAAACCTTGGGGTGTTGCTTATAAATACTTCATAAATGAAAGTAATCTCAGTCAAATTTCTGAGACAGAACACCATAAAATTTCTGAGTAAAACAGATATGTGATAATACAAATGTAGAAGCACATTTATTTTATGAATAGCTTTTAAACAAAAAACTAAAATTTGCCAAATTTTCTCATATTTTTACTGCTAATGAATAATGTAAACATTATATTTCACCTTCTTTTTAGAGTGTATCTATTAATACATCTCCCTTCATTTCCTCAAAGAGATGATCTGTTATTGTGTCTCCAACTAACAGTTCTTACTTCTGACCTCTTTAGAACATGACTAGTAATGTATTTTCTCTCAAGATTCCCATGGCTTCTGTCAGTGAAGACCTAATATTTCTCCACAGCTACGAACAGTTCAATCTTTCATAATGGATTGGTTTCAGGAGATGGCAAAACTCAGTCCCAGTCTGTAGAGCAGGTATTTATTTAGGCCCTGAGTTTTGTAATGGTCTGCAGTTAGTTACACAATAAGCTCTTGATGGAATGAAGAATTGCTTCAAAGTATCATTTTCCCTGTGCAAGAGGCACCTCTCCAGCTAAAAATAAACACAGGCAGTTTCAAATAACCCCAAAATAACATTCTTCCATTTCTTCCAAGCTGAAAAATTATCTAAGAGCATTCCAATAAAATAAGGTAGCTGTATCATATAATAGGGGCCTGAGAAGTAGTCAGATGCCCCAGTGATAGGAGTTATACAAAAATATAAATAGAACTTCAAATAGAATATATTATATACTTAGAATATAAATAGACACTTCTCTAAAGCTCTGGAAGAAGTGTTTCCTAGCTTTATAGGATTTGAATACGGCAACATGCTGAACTAGTAATAGGGCAGCCCTCTGTACAATTTTTCATTACACCTTCCAATCACCCAGGAAAATTAATGGAGAGATTAGTAATGTAAAAATTACTCAACAAAGGGTAGTTAGTCAGAGCTGTGTGACTGATTAAACATGTCAAAATTAATAAAATGCATACTTTGCTACAGATGAAAGAAATAGCTTAAGAAACCTTAAAAAGAAAATTCTGTGGTTTACAAAAAAGAAAATTTGCTGGTCTAGAAATGAAACTTATAGATCTGAAAACAATAAAACTGAGCTAGAATCATCTTGCTGCTCTGCTACAGCATCTGATATGCACTGTGGTCTCCATGTTCGGTGCTGCATGCACGCCAATCAGCTTTTCTGATCTTAAAAACTGCTTTCAAACAGACTCCCTCACAGCTGGTTTATATCATGGCAGTATAATGACATAAACCAAATCTCACAGCTCCCCTTTCTGGTGTAATGAACCTCCTTTCTAAGTGTTCCTGTAAAGGTACAAGGATGTGATGTGTCTGCTGTGTTTTCCTATCTGAAAAACCTTTTTCAGTTGTGTCCCAGACTGCAGCAGAGATCCAGCATAGCTCTCACAAATTTTGCTCTCATGTTCTTTGCCTGGCATGCACATGGGAGCTCAAGGCTTTAATTAACTTATAGAATTTAAATTGATTGTGATGTCACCTTACTTCGTTCTGCTGTGCTCTCATCCAAGCTGAACACAGCCCATGTAATTAGAAATTAAACTCTTACACCAAAATGTCAGAGTAGGTGCACTGCACAGGTGGCAAGTAGATGCTTATTTTGCATTTCTCCTGAAAATAAACCTTAACAATGGCTGCAATATTGATCTTAATATATTCAATGAAGGCACTATTTTATTTTCAAAATCTGATTATCAATTTCAGTGTCAAAAACAGTAGATTGAAATGAAATACACACAACATTACTATGTGATACAATTCAGTTTATGAACATACTTTATTCTATTTATTTTCTTCTACCTAAATTCCTTGAAAGTACTTAGATGATCATTTAAATATTTTGCTGTTTTTCTGCCAAGTGTCATATTAAGTCAACAGCATCTCAGCAAATATGTGTATCAGATGGGAATTGTGCAGCAGCCTTCCCATGCATCACTATAGTATTTTTTTCACATGAAGGTCTACTGAAATGACAGTTTGGGTTTCCTCTATTTGCTGTTTAAAACAATTTGTCATTAAAATTCCATTTCCTCATGTGCTTCACTGCACAGACTGAATAAATGCTTTGAGGCATTTCCTGTAGCCACATTGATTCAGTTAATGTACAAGTATTTACACACGGATATCCTACATCAATAAGTATCACAATATATTAAGCATTTTCTTTAAAATCAAGTGATTCTTGGGCTTACCTTATTGTAAATAAAGTGCTTCTTAAGAGACAGAAAAAGATAGAGGCTAATACACACAGCAGCTATTTAAGATGTAATAATGATTTAAAAAAAATAGGAGCCACTGGGAGTTCCATAAATAAATCTGATTCCTCTCCTCATTTGGTTAAATGCTGAAGAGAAGACCTTTTCAAAAGGGGAAAACACAGAACAATTCCACACAGTTAGTATTCAGAAATGCCTGCCAAAATCACAGGTAAATTTTGACATTTTCCTTGGTTGACTTAGATTCATAAGAAAAAGCTGATTTCCCTACATTATTGCAGAAATAATATCTCCTGTGAGTAATGCTGTTTTGCCTTTCTTGCCCAACCATTTTTTAAAAAGTGGGAAGAGCAAAATGACTTCATTTGCTGTTTAGATGAGAAGGAGCCTTCTGCCTGCAGAAAAAAAAAAAAAAAGAGAGAGTGAAAAAAAAAGGAAATTCTGAGATTTTTAGTAAGATGTAATCTGGTTGTTTTCAGAACAGTCCAATTTTATCTTCAATATGATTTTTTTTATAGGCTCCATGGTTTCTAGAAATTTATGATCAATAGGCTGTGTTCTCAGTGGTTTTGTGTTTCTTTCTATATTTTCTTAAAGATTTTGTTGTTTTCCATTTTCTTTGCAGTGTCCTTGCATGACCTCCCAGAGAAAGGAAGATATATCCGTCTTTTAGATCTGCCTACTCGCAGTTGTGCTGTCAATGCACTTCTCGAGTTCCTCCAGCCACAGTTTGATTTTTCCTTTCCTTGTGTTAGCTATGAAATTTTCATTTGCACTCTGGCTCTGCACAGCTTGAGTGACTTATGTATTCTTTTCCCCTGTAAGCTTTTTTTCACCTGTGCCTACTTGTATTAATTACCAGTATTGTGTTTTCATGCTCCACTTACTTGATTTTTCCCCCAGAACCTTTAATCTTCTTTATTGTGCTATCCAATTTCTTCCTCCTGGCATTTGTTTGCACATTTTTCACAAGCTAAAGCACTAACTACAGAGTTATTTCTTTTTCTCCATCACACCTGATATGTTGTTGGTCTTTTTATTTTGTTTTTAAAATCTGTGTCCTTATGGACTATCTTTTCCTATATTTGGCTTTATTAGGGATAGCAAACAGACCACAATCTGCACTTCAGTCCTTAAAAAGCTGCTTACCATAAATAGTACATAATAACTGCTAGCAATAAAATTGTTGCTTCCAGCTTCTTGAGACAGCTATTTCAAGTTTTTTTGCAGAACCCTATTTCTAAGATGTTTCAGATTTATATGTTGGAGAACTCCTGCCTCCCTTATCACCAAAATCCACATGCTAAAGGAACATATTATTTCCTGGGTCTTCAGGTCTGGAACACTCTCATAGTGAAGAATTCATTCCTAATAGTCAATGTAAACATATCCTCTTCAATATAAACCTGCTTTCTTTCAGTTTAAAACCATTCCCCCTTGTCCTATCACTACATTCCTTGTAAAAGCTCCCTCCCCGGCTCTCTTGTAGCACCTTTCAGTACTGGACTGTGTGGTAAGAGCTCCCCAGAACCTTCTTTTCATCAGGCTGAACACTTCTAATACTCTCAGACTCTCTACAGAGAGAGGAGCCCTACAGCAGAGGCGTTCCATCCTCTGATCATCTTTGTGGTCTCTTCTACACTTGTATCCAATAGGTTTCTTGTGCTGGGGACCCAGGGCTGGGTTTAACACTGCAGATGGGCTCTCACTGGGGCAGAGCAGAGGGGTAGAATCCCCTCCCTCGCCTGCTGCCCACAGAGCTTTGGATGCAGCCCAGGACACGTTTGGCTTTCTGGGCTGCAAGGGCACATGGCTGGGTCATGTTGAGCTGCTCATCCACCAACATGCTCAAGTCCCTCTGCCCAGCCTACTCCCAGTCCATTCTCTGCCTAACCTTTCTCTGAGCTTGGGATTGCCCCAAACCAGATGCAGAACCTTGCATTGGCCTTGTTGAAGTCCAGAACATTTGCACGGGCCCTGTTCTCAAGCCTGTCAGGGCCCCTCTGGATGGCATCGCTTCCCTCCAGCGTTCTGATCACCCCACACAGCCCGGTGTCATTGGCAAACTGGCTGAGGCTGCACTGAATCCCACTGTCCCTGTAGCTGACAAAGATATTAAACAGCACCTGTCCCAATAACAACCTCTGAGGAATCCCATTTGTCATTGGTGTCCTATTGGACATCAAGCCATTGACCCCAGTCTTTGAATACATCCAGTTCCAGACAATTCTTTACCCACCAAGTAGTTAATTTATCACATCCCTGTCCCTCCAGTTTAGAGACAAGGATTTCATGCAGGACAGTGTCAAATGCTATAGAAGAAGGAACTAACATAGGTACATATTTTTATAATATCTCTAATGATAAAGAAACCTAATGTAGACCACTAGAGTAGAAAACTTCTAGGAAATTACCAGAATATTAATGTTACATAAACAATTTATTAAATATCACAGTTACTGTAAGGATAAACACGATGATGGGTAATGACAGGGTATTGTGGCATTTGATATCTCAGTATCTCATTATCACTAAATAGTCCATTAAGACAGAACAGGGACTGTTCTGCCAGGTGGCTTCAAAGCTGGTAGATGTGTTTTATTTAATAGGTTGGAAAAATAGATTTTGCTGCTCAGAGGAAGGCAAAAAAGGAGGTTTTTGTCACCAGAGGTGAAATATTTCTGTATTACAGTGTCCAGTAAAGGTAAGGCAGCAAGTACTCATCCATGCATAGCAGAAGTACTTGGATTTTGGCTGCAGGGCATGCATGTATGCTAGTCATGGGAGACAGTGCACTTAAAAGAATCATCAGAAATATTGAAACAGAAGGAGAGGGAGAACAGCAGACAGAGGAGGTGAGGAAGAGAGACTGAAGTCACTTATCAGAGCAAGTGTAAAGAGTGAAGCCATAGAGGGGAATGAACAACATACCACCTTTCAAGCCCAGAAGTGCTGCTCAGTGCCTTAGATGCCTTCACCTTTATAATTCCAGGGCACTTATAGCTGCAGTTCTTTAACCTGCCTTTGCCTTGAAGCCCTGCAGTGTTTTAGCCAGCTTCTGTGGCAGAGATTGTCCCTTGTTGCTCTCATGATGTTATTCTCATGTTAATATTCTCAAGGCCTTATTCCTCTCAACCCTGACAGCATTGTTATGGTCGGCTCTCTTGAGAAACAAATTTCTCCCAGAATAAAATAATTATTTTCTCTGACCTTTCCCTGTCCTTTGGTTGCAGCATTTGAGTTATGCTATGGGGACCCAATAATAAACAAGTACATACCTTTTCATTGATGTAGTCTGCAGCAGCAGCCCCAAGAGAAAGTAACAGCAGTAACAGCAACAGAAACAAACACTAGTAGGAGGGTTGAGTGGATCCTGATGAAGATTATAGAGTTCTATGGAAAAGGGTGGATGCGTTTGCCTGTGTGCTGGAGAGCAGCCAATGGAAGATGCTTTTTGAGAAGGATAATTACTTCTCTTCCCAGATGGTCACTGGGGAGAGTTTTGGTTTTATCTTTCTATCTCGCTTAGTTTCTATTTTTTCTTGCAACCAACCTTTATAGAATTGATGAGAGCCACCATCTAAACACCCTACTAATAAATGTTTGTGCACGTAAGCCTATCTCACAAGGCCAACAAATGTCTAAAGCTTTTCAAAAGTACACAGCATTGCTGTATTTTTAAATATAAACCCCAGATGTTTCAAACTACCATTTAAATTCTCTCTGAATAGGAACAACTTCTCACAAGGCAAATAAAAGGGTATTTCAGTGCTCCTTCAAATCTGAAGTCTTCAGCAACCTTGGTTTGCATCTAGCTTTGATACCTGTATTGGAGGGTACAGACTTCTAGGAAACCTGAGACTGGGAATGGTGGGGAAGATGGATTCAGTATAGGTAAATAATGGGAAAGGAAAGTCTCTGAAGAAGTCAGAATCTATGAGATGTAATTGCCTGTGAAACAAGATGCAGCATCACTAATGCAAATGCTTATGAATAACAGGCAACCACCAGGAGAAAAGCTGCCTTCAGGAGGTTTTGCAGTTTCTGCTCAATAATCTGCTTGAGAAATGAAGAGCTTATGGCATGGAACTGGAACGAGAACATCTCAGATGAAACACTAGTAGCCTTTTAATGATGAGAGGTTGATGGCTGGATGACAAGATGATGTGGAACCCTGCCCCACCTCTACCTGGAGACTAATGTCTGTGAACTGGTGAGGGAAATAACAAGTCCTAGAAGGTTTCCCTTAAGTTTTCTCTAATTGTACTTTTCTTCCAGACTTGTATAGACCCTGTCTGAGGAGCATGTCCAGAGATAGGTGCCCACAGGTATTAGAAAAGGTATGCTGGAGTCCTGTACTTAGTAGCTCCCTCAGGGGAGGAAAAGCACCCTGACAACAGCACTGGGTAGAGGAGGGGGAAATTTCTGGGACCATCAGCCACCTCCCACTCAAGGGATACTGGCCTGGACAGCTGCTACTGATTCCAAGCCAACCTACCACCCATGTATTCCAGGGTGACATTTTGGAAGTGTAACTTATGGCAGTTGGTCTGTCTTCCCTGAAGATGACAAAAAGTGGTGGCCAGGTCTGTGTCCATGCTTGAATGGGAAGGCCAAGGTGCTTGACAAGGTGCTGCCTGCTTTGGGGTTGTTTAACTTCTATATGGATTTCACTTTGTGCTTCCCTCTCTTGCTGCTATCTTGGGAGCTGCTGTCTTGCCAGTAGAATGAAATCAAGACCTGGCACATTTCTCATGCCTGTGCAGATCTGTTTTCAGTCACAGCATTTAAAATATCTTCCATAGCAAAACATTAGTGTGTCACTTACTGAAATAATTTGGGTTTAAAGATGAATTCAACAACATAATTTGTTCTTTATTCAGCAATGAATAAAACACTATACATAAAGAAGCTTGAAAAATTTTCTTCTTTTTCATTTCTATGAGGAAGGCCAGACTTCCACTGCCTTACTGAAGAAGGAAAGATCAAATGGCCTTTCTGAAGCTCTTTCTACTTCCAGTTTCTAATTCTCTTATTCAGCTCTCATGGGTTCGAAAGTAACCCCAGAGTTGAGGTCATGGTAGATATTTTGAATTTTCATAATTTCCCCTAAAATCAAAGCTCTGTGTCTTGTTTTGGTAAGAGTCTTTTGCTATTCAAGAAAGTAGGTTGTTAAGAAAATAGTGGAAAATTTTCCTTGCTTTGGAACTTTGCAAACATTGTTTTATATTTTTCACTTTAACCAAAATTACATTAAACTTCCAGTGTTGACAGAAGTCTCATAATTTCTTTGTGAGAATAAGATGTGAGAAAGAGAAAAAAATATTTCCCATTGTACAGTTGAAGGGCAAAATATCAAAAACCTAGCAGATGCTGAACAGTTTCATAAAATTATTGAATAACTGCTGAAAAACAGGTCTGAAAACCAAAAGTGAATATATGCAGTCATGTAAGATAGAGATCCATAAAAAGAAAATTAAGTATATATGCATTAGTTCCATCACATGAAAAGCAATTCTAGTAATAACATTAAGCAGAACCATTGAACTTCATTCCAATGACAGAAAATTACATATCAAGGCACACTGTTAACAGTGGAGAAATAATGCATTTTATAGCAAAAAATTCAATTTTTAATGCTTTCTTCTCTTGAATAAAGTATGTGTCAGAGTATCTTAATGTGACTTTTACTGGGCATCCCTTAGAATCCTTTTCCTGTTATGAACTCCAGCAGCATTTGGGGAAAGCTGATAGTCCTATGCACCTTTTAGCTTTTCTACCAGCCAGCATGGTTGTTCCCAATCTCTTTTTTGACAAAGAGTTAATGAACTGCTGTAGAAAAATGATAACTTTGTGTCTCGTATCTGGGTCTGCCTGCTCAAATCTTTCTGACATTGATGAGTTCCTGCTTCTGTCTGTGCAGCACCTGTACCACTGACAAATGGAGAAAAATTTTACTGGCTCTAGTGCTGGATTTATTATTCTTAGGTGTATATAAAACATAGGAATGTAAAGCACTGCCCATATTAAAAGAAAGAGCTCAAAATAAAATTTCAGGTGTTAATATGAGCCTTGTTTATCTCAGTATCACTGCTCTGATAACAATGAAATTCAGGTAGAAGTATACACAGCAGTGTTAATTTAGTAGACTTAATAAAAGTGTGTTTCCCCATTTTTCCTACGAACAATTTCAGGCATTATTTTTGATGGCAGTTCCACTGCATATGACCAGATGGGATTCTAGTTGTGGTTTGTCAATACACTTGTGGATTTCTCAGCTACTTTAAAATGAGAAGTTGAGTGCTTAATTTAGGGCTTTTATCTTCATGGGATAGTTAATGAAAATAACGTAATAATTTTTACATGACATCTTTGAGGCTGACACTAGACTCATCAAATCATAGCACTAACACAGGATTTGAGTTGTGGTCTTACCTGTGTACAGAACAATCACTGCCCTGGTCCTGCTGGCCACACAATTTCTGTGTGGATGATGTTGGCCTTCCTGGCCATGTGGGCACACTCTGGCTCATGTTCAGCTGCTGTTGACCAAAATCCCCTGGTCCTTTTCCTCTTGGCCACTTTCCAGCTACTCTTCCCCAGCCTGTAGCACTGCAGGGGTTGCTGTGATCCAAGGGCAGGACTGAGCACTTGGCCTTGTTGGCCAGCATAAAATTGGTTTCAGCATCAGCCCAGCCTGTCCAGACCCCTCTGCAGAGAGTTTCTGCCCTCCAGCAGGTCAACACTCCTGTCCAGCTTGATGTTGTCTGTGAACTGACTGAGAGTGCACTTGATCCCCTCATCTAGGTCACTGATAAAGACATTAAACAGGAGTGGCCCCAACACTGCTCCCAGGAAAGCCACATCCAGCTGGAGGTAACTCCACCCACCACAACCCTCTGGGCCTGGCCATCCAAACCTTTTTTAACCTGGTAAAGAGTGCACCAGTCTAAACCATGGGCTGACAGCTCCTCCCAGAGAATTCTAGGGGAGACAGTATCAGAGGCTTTACTGAAGTCAGTAAAGGTAAGGCCTTGGCAGGTAAGGCAGGTAGGATGATAAAGTTCATACATGCTGTACAAGATCACGCCGTACAATGTGAAAGAATCATTTTTGCATTCCGCATTCTTAAACCTCTGACTTAAGCCAACTGACAAATGTGTTTATCCAGAACACTTCAGTATCCTACACTTCAGTGAGGAGTAAGTTTTGGCCACATTTCCTCTGATACTATTTTTGAAATCCCTTTACTTCCGTTCAGTAGGTTGAAAAGCAGTAAATCACAGAAGCACACGTGACATTCCTAAAAGTTACCAGCTCTCTGCATGCCAACTTCTTACTGCATCCTCCAGGCTTTATATCTAAATGTATCAGTGAAAATAAAATCTCATGGAGGGAGAGGATATTCATCACATTTCCAGTTCTCAAAATGAGATGTCAGAGGGAGTTCAGTGGAAATGCCAAGAACGTATGAGTAAAATTTTCATGTGCTAAGATCTTGAATTAATTTGCCTTAGTATTTGAATAGCTGAAATTTGAATGCTGTGACTGGAACTCAGACCCTGTTTTATCTGGTAGGAATAATGGCATTTCTATTCTAAAACCCTTAAGTCATGAGCCCAAGCCTGGAAACAACCACAATGAAGCCGATGTTTCTTCTACAAGTGTGCATTGGTGGTAAGTAATCAATAATCAAACACATGCCAAAGTCCAGGAGAATCTTTGCAAAAATTCTTTAAAACAGGCTTTGAATCAGGCAGAAAGTACCTCAATAGTTTTATTATTTTAGTGATATGTCATAATGTTAAAAAATTATTAAATCAGACAATCTGCTAATTAGTGCACTTGACATCCATCCAGGAATCTGAAAGGCTAGTTTATGCCTGCAAAGACAGAGTTAATACAAACATAACTGTAAATGGAACAAGGAGTCATAACCAAAAAAAAAAAAAAAAAAAAAAAAAAAAAAAAATTAAAAAAAAATCCAACAACAAAACTCTGGTCACACTATTTTGTCTTGAAGAGACTAAAAAACAGCTTAAAATCTTCTACTGCCAAAGAGACAGGATAAGTAATGGGAAATTTGTGACATCATTATAATAGCAAATGGAAATGACTTCTCAGCTATTAGAAGAGTCATAAAACACATCCCTTCCTAAACAACACATATAGAAAAAGAGTGTGCTTTAGGGATATGACAATGGTTTTCATGATTATCAGGTGAATTTTCTCTTAAATTTCTTTTTCTCCAGGGGTGCATTCCTCAGGCTAGGCATCAAGGTTCTTGCACTTTCTTCCCAGTGTTTAGATCCAGATGATCTAATCATTCTGTCTGACTTGATGGATATATGAGCACAACTTAAATCCTACTTCCACCTAAAGGAAGTTTGGAAGCATGACCTAGTGCTTTTCTGCCATGTGCTCTCTCCTGTACAGGGATGTGATTCC